AGTTGACCAAGCAGAGGCCTCAAAACCAGGAATCTGATAGTTCTAATCCCTACTCTGAGCCTTACTGTTGTTTGGGCAAGTCACTTTGTCTCTCTGTAGGAAAATGGCCGATGTGCTACTGCCTTCCATGTGGAGTACAATCAGCAAAGGCTTATGTTGTTCTAGGTGTTTGGTCGTTTTGCAGTAACCCAATGACACTTGCATGGGAATCAGCATTCAAAATCATTACCTCCTTTGCCAAAGGAATAGAATGCAGCATTGAGAAGGCACCTAGTTCATAGTGCAAGCCAGAGACTACACAACTTGGGGGGAAGGGTTGAGAGATTTTTTCAAATAAGCCTGTGGGGGGGCACACAGCCAGAAGTATTCTGGAAAAGGGGCTATTATATTTTTGCCCCAGACATCTCCAGAAAAACAAAAGCAGCTCAGTTAATCCCACAATGAACTCCATCAAAAGTATGTGGATGGAGCTGTAGAATTTCTATACAGACAGCACTGAATCATATAAAATCCTAGAAGCAAGCACTGTCTAGACATACTTATTAAAGTCCACCTACTAGTCTGCGTTCATCAAACATGATCAGACCCAGGATGTCCATACTCAAACTTTGGGAGATGATTCATGTACGCAGGTGAATTAGAGAATGCTATCACCCAGAGCAAACTAAATGCATCTAGCATGTCAAAAGCAACTGTTCTGAAATGTGTAGTGCTGAACACCACATATACAAACACACGGTATTATACAAGTAGTTTCAACAAATACCCATAACACAGGATAAAGCAGGAGGTGTGTGTGTGGTGTGTGTGGGTGTGTGTTTTGAGCTTCATATATACAAATGGCTTTTGACACAGAAACTACATGTCCAAAATCGCCAAAGACTAGCTAACAAAGACTAGCTATTATTCTGAAGAAGCAAGTTTTAATCTGTCTTTCCATATTTGATGGCATTAGCCATTTGCCCTCTAGAAGTAGTTCTTCATGACCAGTTTTATTACATTCTAGGCCTTAACTCTTCTTGTGGCAGGAATTTTACCAACTGGTTGCGTAATATGTTCACCAATATCTCTCCCCCCCCAAGCCTTTTATTTACAGTCCACTTATTATTTTTCTAGTCCTCCTCCTGAGAATTAGTCTTGGGGTTTTTTCTGTTTCGTTTTTAAAGAGGAAGTGAGAGATGGCGCATTTGGGATCTGAAGCACAAGGAAGAGACAGAAGTTGTCAGACAGGAACAGACCAATGGCTCAGAAGCCTCTTTAAACAGGGGCAGATATAGGATGCTACTGGAGAAGGTGTAAATCCTTCATGAAGCACCTAATTGTGCAAAACTCTATATATGGGGACATTTATTACTGACCCCAGCTGCTGCTCAGCTTGTTCCCTGAAGCATGAAGATTGATGGCACGAATGGTTCTCATCTGAGCTACTGTCACTGCAGATGCCATCTGCGTTCAGAAGTCTCCTTTGCCTTTAAATACCGTCTCACACTGGTGAATTCTACAGGTTAATTATATGCAGTGCTGAGGGGGCAGGGGCATGGAAGAAAGGCAAACGTTACTTGGGATAATGATTCTTCCCTCCCCCCCCCAAAAAAAAACCTTCTTTCAGTTACTTCACACCTAAGCTCTTTCATTTCTGGTGAAGAAAAGAGCACAAGAAGTACAGTTGCTCCCCTTTACTACTTATTCATTGGTACATCCCATTATAAAGTGACTTGCCTCCAGTAGAAGGTGCCCAGGAAGGAGCTGGGGCAATAAAGTTCATTTAAATTACAGCAGGTGCGGATTTGTCATTTTTGGTCAGACCCTTGGGGTACTTGAAAAAGCTTAAATGCTGTGTGCGTGTGTAAATTATAAAAATATAAGCAAATATATATTGCCCTAAGGCAGGTATATGGGAGCACTGGGAAAACTGACCAAAATGACACATCGCCACAAGGTATTGCAATTTAAAAACAACCTCCTTCTCCTTTACTTCCTAGGCATGTTCTACTGGAAGCAAGCCAGCCTCTCTACATAGTGAGATATGTCTATGGACATCTAAGTCTGTTGCAGCAGATTCTGTACATTGTTTGGCAAGGTAGACAAAATGTCCTTGCAGTTAGAACAAGAGACTGAAGTTAGTACTTTTATGTCCCATTCCTTAAACCTAGAATGGAAGAGAACAGGTTCCCAAATGTCTACCTTCCCTTGAGTGCTTTTTGAAGGAAATCCTATGGAACCACACACATAAAAAGCAGTAGCTGATCATTCATATTGCTTTAACAAAAAGAACCATAGGTTTGGGGGGTACTTGATTCCTGCAAGATCCTCCACTTGATTCCTGCAAGATCCTCCTCAAGTTCATCTCAGAAAAGTCCATAGAAACACAGAATTGTATTGGAAGGGACCCCAAGGGTCTTCTAGTCCAACCCTCTGGCAATGCAGGAATCTCAACATGGCTGACCAATTGTGGTATAGCATTTTCCACAGCCATCTCTTCAAGAGAGTTCTGCCACAGAGCAAGACAGGATATCATATCTGCCTTTGGACAAGCAAATGCAGTAAAAATGAAGGTATAGTATTAGTTGCCACTCTGTGGCACATGGCAAGTCTCAAACCAGTGGCATAAATAGTACATCAAGCCAAACCACATAGTATTATAACCTCCACATTGTTGATGTCAGATGATTTGACAGGTGGGTTGTCCTGCTTGCCTATCAAGCCCCTTGCACAGAACATCCCAAGTGACTGTCAGCCAGCTGGTTATTAGGCACTTGGGAACTGCAGCACAAGGGGCTGTGTCAGTCCTATGCTCAGGACTGAACGTAGGGCTTGCAAAGTGCTTTGTGCACCACTGCTCAAATGCCTGATAGTCAGCTGCCTATTGGGAGCTAGTGAAGTGCTGCCCATAACGCTTTGCAAGCCCTGTGCAATCAAGCTCCCCATGGGGAACTCAGTCGTGCAACCTATTTAGCCACATCTCTCCTTGCATCACAACTGATGTCACATATGGCATCACATGTAGGGCAGGGGGCATTATTTCAGGGAAACAGGCCCAACAGGCTTATTTGGTCCAGAGTCCATGTGTCATTCTCTCCTCCAATAGTAAAACCACTGCAATACAAAAAGTTGTGTTTGTTTGTTTTGTTTGTTTGTTTGTTTGTTTGTTTGTTTTAAAAAAAGCAGTCTCACACATTGGGGGCAGAGGAGATGCATTACTTGAGCATTTGGCTGTAAATGTCCCCCACACACATTGTACATCCTGACAAAGCAATAGCTTTAAATCAGGAGCAATCGCTTTTACACGTTCCCACAGTGGCTTAGGCACCTGGTTCATGTTACTCAGTGAGTACTGCATAATACTTTACCTGGGCAATGAGTGAGCACACATCTGTTTACTAGAGCCCACAATACTGTTAAACTAATTGCAGTGCCAAGCCCCAAGGCACCATGAAGACAGCCTTACTACAGCCACACACGCCCCTCTGAAGGAGGGGGAGAACTGTGTCTCTTTCATTCAGCAGGGGTGACTCTGAGAAGCATGACATGCATGATTACCCTTCAGATCAGGGGAACAGTGGCTTAACTGCATGAGAAACGGCTGTTATTCAGGTAATGGATTTACAGTGCTCACTACTAAAGTATCAGACACAGCAATTTTTTACAGCTTTCACGCTGGAATTTACAACTTAGACGAGAGGCGATCTCCGTATGAGTCTGGGCTCATTGCCTTATTTAGTATCTGAGGTTACTAAAGTTTCCTCTTAAGTTTGTTTTGAAAGGTAAATTGTAAGCACTTAAATCCATACACAAACGCTACATAAAAATTATATGCACATACATGCCTAAGAAATCGACACAAAAAAATCCCTGTAGTGCATGTGTTCCTATTTTCCTTTACACGCAGCACATTTAGAAAGACCACCAAAACAGAGCTGCACTGTGTGAACATGGGCAAACACACAGTATGCCAAAGGTGAACTCTGGCATGTACTCTTTGTTACCTCCAAATACCTGGCCAAGCAGGGTAGCTAGTGCTTCCAATTTGGGACTACTTAATCCCTGATTTGAAGGAAAGACAGCAAATATGTGGAGTACCGTCACAATGTGGCACCCATGTGTGTATTTGAGTCAGCTCCAAAGGGTAACACTGCTGTGAGCATACAAGATCACCTTTAGGACTTTGTGTGAGCAGAATGAATCCACAGTGACATGGTAACAATTGTTACGGCTGGTCAGTTTTCAAGGCAGGTGACAGTGCAGTGTTTGTAAGATGTGATTCATTGGGCTGCCCCAAAAGCCTGCTAGTACTACACAATGCCAGCACTACACTGGCTTACTTGCAAAGCTGGAGATAGAAAAAACACACATGAACAGTAAAGTATGTACACAACTGAAGGAGGATGGTTCAAACTCAGAAGAGCACCTTCCAATGGGGTTGGCCACAAGATTAAGTATGCTTGAAGTTACAAGTGGACATACAAACAGCCATGAGCCAATCTGTTCACATGACTCTAAGAATATCCTGCCACTGAATGGGGAGTGTGGGGTACAGAGAAAAAGAAGCAGAGTGTGTACACACAAGGATCCGTCATAAACTAAGTCAAACATTTTGGTAAAAGTAAGCTGGAATGCTAATTTAAGGTATGCACATACCTAGGCATAAATGCTAATCCTAAACATGTCACATCTATGAAAAAGTCACTTCCATGAAAAAATATTCATTCCAATCAGAATTTTATGGAAGTAGGTTTCATGAAGGCAAGATTACTAAATGTGGCTGAGAACTGACAGCAGAAGACTATCCACAACCCCTCCCACCAATTAACCTACCCTATTCATGGCTTATTATCTTTCCATTGCCCTTTTTCTGCATTCTACTATACCACATAGTAGTAGAAAAGATAAAGGGAAAGGTTTGGGATCCGTTTCAGATCAACCTGTTCCTAACAGGTTGAGAGAAGCACTCAAAAGGTAGGTAAGCAAGAGAGTGTCTGGAAGAATCAAATCCTCAGTACCTGCTGCTGCTGAAAATGCAAGAGTTCCACTGGGCTCATTTCTCCATTGGTTTCTCCACTGGCTCCTCCTTCTCTTCCACATCCACCACCGCCTCCTCCATCAGTTGGATTGTTTAGGCTGCTGACCCCATTCTGACTGGAGGGAGTAGAACGTATTGTCTCCGAGGCAGATTCAACCATCATGACTTGCTAGCAGCACCTGCATAAGCAAAGCAGTCTATTACAAGAGCATAAATTTCAGCTGAAGCTACTATCTATGCTATACTGGAAGGCATCACTCTGCACAATGTTGTTCACACTGCAACAGCGTTCAGTTGTCCCATTTTACGACAAGGAATTTCATTAGTGCAAGGAGTTTCTGAGCTCTGAACGCAGTACTGCGCCTAGGATTCAGATTAAAACTGCAGAGTGGAAGGAAAGGAGGACCTTTTTCTGCCTCCCCACTTCTAGGTAGAGGAGAAGAGACCCTCTTAAGAATATTAGGGGGGTGGACACGGGAAGGACTAGACAATGTGAAAAATAAACGTAATATTCTAGCTGCAGTTCATTCATTTTCAGCTTTGAATTCTTGTTATAGAAAAAGCACGCCTGGGCATTCAGTTGTTTCGCCCATAACCTCGGTTTAAGGTGCCATTTAGCGCCTAGCTTTCATATCAGTTTCAAACACTGCACTGCAATGACCTAAGCACGACAGACTCCTCCCCATCCCAGATGTATAAATGCCCCAAGACATCCAGAAAGCAGGAACCAATGGGACATTTGCCAGAGAACAGCTGTGCCCACAAAGTTGTTTAGTACAGCTACATCTTCAGTACGCACACTAAATGTCCTCTTTTTTACCAAGTGAAACTCTCATAGAAATTAAAATAGCTTAGCTGCTAGGAGTCATTTTCATAACACACTTGCTCTGGGCCTGCTCCAATGCATAGAATTTGGAGAAGCTCCTTACTTAGTAATAGAAGAAGAAAAGAATCCCTCATACAGAGTTTAGAAGTCAAAAGCATCACAGGAGGCCTAGGAGAAAGTATATCTGTCACCTACCTGAAACATTGTGAGAAACAGGCACTTCCATGACTGCTTCCAATGACATGCCTCAATGGGGGGGGGGCGCTGAAGCCCAGTTCAACAGGTTCACTCCCACAACATGAGATCTAGTAAATTTTATGAACCACTGACTATATTTTTGTTGTTGTGATCATATTATGGATTATGATGCCTTGCATGGCCTAGTGAATAAAGTCCGCTAGAGTAAACCTCTGAAGATAAAATGTGGTTTCTGCACTCTAAATGGGCGTATCAGCATAACGATTTCAAAAGAAAATGACGGCGCAACAAAGGACTTCCCACATGTGTTGATGGAGTTGGCAATTTAATATTTCCAAGTCTCCTACCTAGCCATGCACTCAGCACAAACACATCTGGATAAACTTAGATTTCATAAGAAAAGCAGGAGGTACTTCAGGAAATGTTTGCCTTTGAAAAGAGCCTTGCCCCCCATCTTCCACAAAATGCTGTTAAAAACCAAAGAATTTCTTTACCTTACCATGTAAACTGCAATGAATATGAAAGTTTTCGATTTCTATAGTTTGTCTTAGTGGTGATTACATCAACATAAAACCTGTTAAACCAGGGATGGGGAACCTCTGATCCTCCAGATGTGTTTGGACTACAATGCCCACCACAGCTAACCACTGACCATGATGCCGTGGGCTGACTGGAGAAGGAGTCTAACAACACATGGAGGGTCACAGCATAAGGCAATCACTGCACATTTTAACAGCTACTCAATACATAAGTGAATGGTAGGTTGCCAATCCCTGCAAGTTTGGGCTGAAGAGTTAACAAATACCAGGGCAGGATATGCTAATATTTCCGTTTTATTGTTAATAAATAGAAGGCAGCTTTCCTTTTTCAAAGAGTAGCACTTTACTCCAATCTTAACTTCAACATAACATAACTTTTGTACACTTTAGTGAGAAGCATATTCCTGCTGTTTGCTCTGTTTTGTTCCAAGGCTCAAAAAGAGTAGCAGCTATGCTGTGTGTTTTCATTTCAACATGTACCAATACCCCACTTTTCCTTTCAGAAGGAAGCCCAAACAAACAGCATACAAAAACAAGTATCAGAAGACAACCAAGCAATATGAAAACAAGCTACAATAAGCCTGCAGAGTGCTGATTCAATGCCTAAAAGAAAGCCAATTAATAAACACTACCCCCCAAAATAAACAAAACAATGGGTTAATAAAACACATACATTAGTCAAAACTGAAGCAGCAGCCAATATACTAGGAATTGGGACATACCATTAAAAGGGGGCAAATCCACCCTAGAGACTGGAGAAACCAAGAGAACCACCACACACAATAGCAGCAAAGAATACCAAGAGCCACAATACCCCCCAAACCTCTCATGTAAAACCTCTCTCACTGCAGGTTACTATTCCCTTGCATTATATGAGTATGGGTGACACAGTTTTTAAGCATCCAAAGGAAAACAAACAGCAACGTGAAATTGAATTACTGCTGCTCAAGTGCAAAGTGTACAGTAGCAAGAGCACATACTGCAGTAAACCAGCAGGCATCAGGAAGGCATCCGTAGCAAACTAAAGCCAGGTCTATTTTGAAAATCCAGCCCTAACTTCAAAGAAGCCGCCAGATAGGCAAAGCAAGGAACTAGTAGAGAGCAGCTCTGCTTTTAAACCCACCTTAAAGTCAAAGGCGACTTTCCAGATTTTTACCATAGATGGGAGTGGGTATGCAAGGCTGGACAAATTACCATCCTGAAAAATCATGTGCCCATATATCTAAATTTGAAATTAGCACCACCGGAATGATCGTGGGAGAAGCAATACAGCAGACCCAGCTTTTTGTTCCACTTTGTTTTTAAAACCTTTAAAGCTTGTCAGTTAAAGTTTCTTTCCTCTTTAAAATGAAAGGGGGGGTGGGAATGCAAAGAAGCTGTCTCTGCTTCTTCAACTGGTCTTCAACTGCTGGGTCTGGACTCATTACAGGTCATGTCCTGATCTAAGGTGGGTTGCAGCAGCCACAGTACCACCATACAAATACATGGTGAAAGAAAGAAAGAAAGAAAGAAAGAAAGAAAGAAAGAAAGAAAGAAAGAAAGAAAGAAAGATGTTTGGGCTAAAAGGTGGGTTCTCAGACAGAAAAGACTACCAATGTGGAGGGGTTTTTGTTCCAGCCTCAGAAACTAACTAAGAAAAACCAAACAACTAAGAAGGTAGTGGTCCTAAAGGACTCTTGGGAAGAAGTAATTTCTATCCCAAGCACATGCATCTACAGTGGTGCCTCGCAAGACGAAATTAATCTGTTCCGCGAGTCTCTTCGTCTTGCGGTTTTTTCGTCTTGCGAAGCACGGCTATTAGCGGCTTAGCGGCTATTAACGGCTTAGCGGCTTTAAGAAAAAGGAAACAAACTTGCAAGAACTCGCAAGACGTTTCGTCTTGCGAAGCAAGCCCATAGGGAAATTCGTCTTGCGGAACAACTCAAAAAACGGAAAACCCTTTCGTCTAGTGAGTTTTTCGTCTTGCGAGGCATCATCTTGCGAGGCACCACTATATCAAGAACCCTCCATTAAAGAAAATGCCGCTGTGAGTGGGATAAAAACTATGGGGAATCACATACACACAATCACACACACAAAAGTAAACAAAACTTACTGAGGTTCAAACTTGGGGAATGGAGCATAGGGGAGGTTAATCCTCCCCCACCCATACTCACTACAGTATTAGGGAGAGTTCAGAGGCAGTATTGATTTCTTCCCATTCATGACCCTAGTATTTTGCCACTTGTACAGCTTACATAATCCTGTAGGGGTAATATGGATCAGAGGATTTTCCTCTTCCATCCCAAAGGAAACCTTTAAATAGTGATGGAAGTAGACCTCGTTACAACTTTAAGGAGCCCATGGGGAAAACTGGGGTCTTTATTCTACCCTTATACTGCCAGGGTTCCATAGCAATATGCATTCATACAATCTTCTCGTTTTCCTTTTAAGCACACTCTTTTTCTGAGTACCTGGGTTGCTCTGCTGATATACTGGTTGGCATGGGGCCACTCACTTCTCTAAATAGAATTAAGTATGGTAAGTTCTGGACTTTAATATTTTGCAAGTCTCTATGAATTGAGTTTGTAAAAGGCAAAAAACTCAGAACTACAAGGAGGAAGACAAAGATTATGTCATCCTACAGAGCTGGGCAAGAATTAGTTGACATCACACACACACACACACACACACACACATACAGAGAGAGAGAGAGAGAGAGAGAGAGAGGGAGGGAGACTTATTGACAAAAGGAAGAAAAAGAGGAGTTGAAAGAAGTCTGTTTTTTATTCTTCATACATTCAAAATCATCACTTCTGACTGAATTTATTTAGAGTAACTGTTTCCCCTAGCTGTACGCACAATCAGTAACATGTCCAGTGAGAGATGCTCTAGATTACTTACTTAGTAAATTGCCTGGTACACTGACAGCAGGAATTATTTGCAGTGAGGTTTGGCATTGGATAGGCCCAGCAGCTGGTATCTGCTTGACTTTAATAAAATGCTAGATTTTTTGCAGGGCAGGAGGGGATCCTCAGAGAAAATTCTTTTTGGAAGACGGAAAAGGTTCCTTTTTCTAAATTTCTCATTTGATATAGTTAAGAACGCACTATTGTCATGTTTTCAAGCTTTTCTCTGCAACCAGAAAAGCTAGGAGTTTGTTTTAAACATAAAGTGAAAGAAGATTCTAATATTGACTCACGTTACTTTAGCAGTATACTACAAATAGTTATATCAGCCTAAAGGAGGAAATACCAATTATCTTAAACTGGTAACACCAATTCTGTTAGATCAATGGGCAGAGTTTTGCTATCCCAATTCTATACGGCAGTGCCATTTCACCTTAATAAATCTATCTACAATTGACGTAAGACTAAAACAAAATGGCTAAAACGCAACCGACACACTAGGGTGTCTTGTTTTAATTTTGTCTCTTGATAAAGAAAACAAGCTGCCAAGCCAGCAAAGAAGTGAAGAAGAAAAAGAACATTAACTGGGACTGATCAGAGAAGCGGTCAGCAAGTTTGAAAGCGGAAGAGGGGCAGCAAAAAAGGGATATTTCTTTTTTCTACCTTTTCTTTCCTATGCATGGTTCCCCCCTCCCTTTTTTTGGCACGATAGACCGACAAACTGGGAA